CCGCGCCTTGCACCTGCACCCCGCACCTCACCTCGTGCCTTGCACCTCACCTTGCGCCACAACTCAGGGTGCACCTTGCGCGGCGCCTCGCCTCACACCCGCACCCCGCGCCCCGCGCCCCGCGCCTTGCACCGCACCCTGCACCCCGCACCCCGCACCCCGCACCCCGCGCCCCGCGCCCCGCGCCCCTCGCCCCTTGCACCTGCACCTGCACCTATTACTTTGATTGGCACCCCCACTGGCCCCTACACCTGTGTGCCCCTGCTGCATGTAGCAGCACCTCAAAGCGCTCAACACTGCTCCGCTGTGTCTCTCTTAACCTCTCTTTGACCTAAACTAAATTGCTCCTCCCGACTCCTAGAGTTTGGGAGATCCCGGCTTCACCGGTTCGCGTCGTCGGGACTCCTAATTTCCGGGAGTCCCGGCTCAGCCACGATCTCCAAACCCCCGCCTGGTGGCCCATTTGCGGCGGGAAGCCCTTCGGGCTTTCTCCCGTAATGCTGTGTACCCCCCCTTCATGTGTGACCTGCCAGCGGGAGGAATACAAAGTTCGGAATTCTATGCCGCCGTGAGGAATGAGCAGAGGCATAGAATATAGACTTTGTATGAATGTGAGCGTTACGCAGGTCACAGTGACAGCTCCTGCTTTCGACGGCAACGACGCGCTCACTCAAGCGCGCTATATGGGCTCCACATAGGCTACCTTTTGCTTTTCCCTCCCTGCCCACCCTTATGTTTGATAAGCTGCAGATTGTACAATGCCTGGTAGCTTTCCTCTCTCCACACTGTTTTTCCCACTGGGTTTTCAGGTGGCATGAGAGGTTTTGAGGCACCCATGGCTTTCATTGCACCCTTGTGTTTTCTCATGACATGTATTTATTACTGGGTCGTGGATGTGGTTTTCTAGGCGGGAGTCCCGGCTCAGCCACGATCTCCAAACCCCCGCCTGGTGGCCCATTTGCGGCGGGAAGCCCTTCGGGCTTTCTCCCGTAATGCTGTGTACCCCCCCTTCATGTGTGACCTGCCAGCGGGAGGAATACAAAGTCCGGTGGCTCTGTTTCGCCTCTAGATCTGTTTCCTGCTTCAGATCTTTGTTCTTTTTTGCCACAAGCCACCCGATATCATGTGAGACACAGGCCAAGAGAAAAAATATATAAGCTAATGGCAGGAAGTGCAGCCACTCATTTCGCGCTCTCAACATGTCTGCGATCGGCTTGTCGACCATAACATCGGATCCTGAAGTAGCCATGTTTCACAGCGCTGAGCCGCTGCACACTCATCGTCATTGCAAAAGCTGTGGGCAGATGCGCCGCTGCATAGGCGGAGACTTCAAGCGATGCGGTGGATGTCATATGGCCACTTACTGCGTAAGCTCTCCCGTTCCCCCAGGAATGTCATTGCTCACCATCACGATTCAATGGTAGTCGAAGGAATGTCAAGTCCACCACTGGAAAACTCACAAGGACGTTTGCAAACTCTACCGCCACTGTCGCGACGCAGCAGCTGTGGGGACAGGGAACAAGAACGCGTGGATGGAATTCGCGATGTAGACCGAGTACCACCACACCTCGCTCATTAACGCCGCCCTCGCTGCATACCTGCACAAGGGCGGTGGACAAGGGTTCTCAGGTCTCGACAAGGACCGCGTGATGTGGCTCAAGCTGGAGTACCTCTCTGACCCGGCGCTCCCCTTCCAGAAAAAATTCAAGCCGCGTGGGACGCAGCTCGTGCACAGGGACGAGAGCTGTGATCCTTTCCTCAAGACGATATTTGCAGCGCGACCGCCCGCGGTGGATATAGGCAAGGTCGAGTATGGGAACAGATATGTGGGTACTACCTCGCTGTCATGTTCACCCCGGACGGGAAGACGAATATACCGTTCTGGAAACATTTCAGTATTGACAAGATCCGCGCAAAGGCGTATCCCGTTGCCGATCCTTTCGGAATTTTATGGGAAAACATAGAGCAAGGGCAGAAGGTGAACTTCTGTTGTGGCAAGATAGACGGGGAAGATACCTGTTGTTGTGGTGGATGGACGCATAAGGAGGTACGCGTGTATTTTAACTCCTGTTTTGATACTTTATGTGTTCTTAAGGGTATCGTAGGATGGATCAAAACCGTTCCCCTTCAACGGAGGAGGCAAGAGATGAAGAATTATATCCTACATAGGTGCTATTTACTTTTGAAGGATTATCTTACTGCTACAAGGGAATTACGAAAACCATTCCGCATTCTGGCCTTCCATCTTTACTTGACCCTGTCGAACCGTATGGAACACCCTGCCAATGAGATGTGTTATGGAAAGAAGCGGCGGTGTCTCCGCAAGCGCGCCTGTGTCACACCATGACAATCAGATGGATGTGATTAATCGCTGGAAGCTTGAGCAAAATGGTATCTGGTATGTGTGTTATCACAGATGAGCCGTGTGGAAGGATTGTGGCTGCTGCTAATTTCGGTAATTGTCATAATTCAGCTAATGCCGGTGGCTCTCTTGCATATTGTTCTCCCTGCCACAGGCCACCCACTAATTATAACATTGTTATGTGAGACAACAATTGTGCAACAGACATGAATACTCAATACATACTAACCAGTTTTCCCAACACTGAACTGATCTCTAGTTTCGAGCTTGTTGACCACGATGTCAAATCACATGTTTCATAGTGCCGATCCGCTGCATATCCACCGCCAATGCAAGGGCTGTGGTCAGATGCGTCGCTGCATAGGAGGAGAATTCAAGCGATGCGGGGGATGCAGTCTTGCAACGTACTGTGTAGGTAGCACTTCCTCTCATTGACGGGCATTCATTGACTCTTATAACAAACCAGTCAAAAGAGTGTCAAGTCCGCATACAGAGGCACGCACCTTCTATGGCGAGATCCGTGAACACGTCACTGCTATGACAGGTAACAACGTTGCATGGATGGATTTCGCCCTCTGGACTGAGTGCCACCACACCTCGCTGATCAATGTTGCGCTCGCGGCATACCTTAAACGCAAGTTGGGCATACGCGGTAAGAATACGCCCTATGGTTTAGTCTAGAGTACATCCCGGACACGTCCCTCCCCTACCAGAAGAAGTTCAAGCCTCGCGGGTCGCAGCTCATGCACAAGGACGACCCAAAGGAGTCCGTCATACTCCCCTCCATCTTCTCCGCGCGCGAGACAGTCGTAGATATTGGCAAGGTCGAGTACGGGACGCAGTACGCGGCTACCGGGGCATATCTCCTCTGTGTCGATTTCACGCCTTGCGGCAACACCAAATGTGCCGTTTTGGAAGCACTTCACTGTCGACAAAAGGCACGCGAGGACGCGCCCTGTGACTGACCCGCTCCGGCTTCTACGGGAGAATGTAGAACAAGGTAGAAAGGTGAAGTAGAGCTGTACCTATAGTCAGTTGCTAGATAATAATATCGCTTGTCTAAAAAAAGGAAGAAAGGTGAAGTTCTGCTGCGGTAAGATAGATGGGCCGATGAATGCTGCGGCGGCGGGTGGACACATAAGGAGGTATGTGACCAACTGGATCCATATTTGCTGGCTCTTGCTGATGCGTCGAAACCATTCCCTTATACGGAGGAGCCTCGAAATGCGATATATTGTCATGTGCACTGTGTCATGGGCAGCAGCTTGTTCCAGCCATTACTATCATTGAGGGGGTTCTGCAATTTTGCAGAACCCCCTCACCCCCTTATATCTCGTTCCACACTCAACCAAAAAATGTTGGGTAAGCTCAGGCAGGTATATATACACTAGAATAGACCCTCTGCCAAGTCAGAATGGGAATATCTGCTGTGGTTGAAGAGAGGGAGAGAAAACGGGTCCTGTAGGCCATGGGAAAGAAACAGTGTCCACTAGATCTCTCGTGATGCTCTCAACGGACTGCAGCGGAATGGCTTGGGATATCATGAATATGCTGTCTACAGTACAATACACCAGCCCGATAGAGTAAATAACGAGTGTGTCGAGATAGAGAGGCAACTTTGCACATCTCCCGGGCCCATATCGTGACAAAAGCGTGACATCGCTCGTCGCGAGATCCCACTGTGACCGCATGTGACGCCTTTTTGCAGAACCCCCTACATGAACCGGCATCTCTCTCCTACCTTCCACAGGCTGCATAAAAATGCACAAAAATAATGAGGACGTTCATCACTAAGTTACACACAATATGCAGAAGATCCGATAAGAATCCGTCAAGTGTGTGGAATGCTACAGGCCGAATTGGATACTTTTTGCAGAACCCCCTCAATGATAGTATATCTTGATCATATCCCTTGTTTCCATAAGCAATTCCCACGTGTATCACCAATCATGTTCTTCCAGACATATCGGATATGGACTATGCACTCGACAGAGGCCACATACTTCCACCGAACAGGGGCTGATTCACCCTCGGGATGCTGCCAGAAAGCTTCAGCCTCCCGAATGAGTGCCACCGTCTCGTTACTATGATCCGGCCTCTCCAAAATTCTATGCAACTCAATGTAGTAAAGCCGTACGTACTTGCTTCGGCTTTCCTTTCACTCGTGACTCAGTCTAAAACGGCCCTGGTAAACTTCCGTATCTACCTCCACTTCCGTAACATGCACATACCCCCTGTATCGTGCCCTGACGAGTTAATAATTCATGAAACTAACTTCAGCTGATCCTCACCTTGTAGTAGTAACCGTCTTTATCCTCATCCCCGCCAGCCGCACCATGTTCTCCATATCCGCATACGTCCGTTCAAACGCTATGCAAGGTGGGATATATCTCAGGAGGAGCAACCTAGCCTACTTACAGTTACAGAGCGAGATCAGGCATATGTTGATTGAATGCGCGATCCTGTGCATATCGCCGAAATCATTTGGTATAAAGGGCGGTGACGGGATAGGCTTGTAAGGGCCCTGTATATCTACGGTCGCCAGAGATTCCTTGACGCTCGGTCCGTCTGGGGACACGGTCGTGGGCGGGATAATCAAGTCTATGATGAACATCTGACTCTGCAATGGAAATGCAGCACGACGCTCAGAAGGGGATCAGATTCCATGATCGGGACGCCTACCTCCCCGTCCAGAATGTTACTCAGAATCCTAGCACCCTCCTCGTCCGACCAATCGTGCAAGACTGTCATTGATCAAGTATCGGTAAGCCACAACCACCAGTCTGCGACCGCAACCGACCTTTCTGCATCAAAAAGACATACCTCCCCGTCCCCCTGCGTCGATTCGGTTCGAAGAAGTCCTGCTCCTCGAATATGACTCTTCCGGCTACGCCCCGCGACGCGATGTATTTCTCCGCCGCTTCTCGGGTGGCCGGGAGGTCTTGCACGACGAACTTGACCTCGGGATACCTGTCCCCATGGCGTTAGCATCACAAGAATTGCGGGAGGAGGAGGACTGGTGCGCACGCAGCTGCAAGGGCACAGCAAAGCGTCCCCTGCCCGCCTCCAACATCCACTATCGCGTCTTTACCCTTCACGAAATCCATCCACGGCACGTCGTAGGTGACACCGTTGTCAGAGGCGACGCCGTATCCCCCCATCCTGGCGTTTGCAATATCTACTCAGCATCGATCCCCTGGCGTCTGCGTAACCGAAACCCACCCCAGCGCGAATCTCTCAGCCTCGCCGGGCTTGTCCGACAGCCAACTCCTTGGCCCGAAAAATGGCAGGTCAGAGTTCGCGTATATATTCCACGCCGTGCGCTCGGGGTTCCTGGACATCCGGAAGCTCTCGTCGGGGTGCGTCATGGCCTCGGGCAGCTTGTCGATGGCGTTGTTCATGTAGAAGCTCCTGGACGTCCGTTAGCCATAGTCACTCACTGTGATTGACAGTCCTCGTGCGCCCTCACATGTCCTTGGCGCAATGATACCCCTTCGAGCCCTTCTGCAACATGTGGCTGCGCCGATTATTCGCGAACCATCCAGCCTTAGTCTCGCGGAACCACCCCCGGTTCACTAGGAGCCTGAGCACGTTCTCTGCATGCACCTCAGTATGACTGGTCACATTGATGCGGAGAAGCCTGAGAAAGGACCGCACCTAGCTTCGGCGCATCCGTACGCGTCTTCACCGCCACGACACGCACGTCCTCGCCCTCCTCTGGGTTCTGGGCATCTGCGAGTACCTCGTGCAGCCCCAGCTCGGCAGCAAGGCGCACGCCTTGTATCTCGCCGGATGCGATGCACGACACAGCCAAGGCCTCCGCGGGGCTCTCCAGAAGGAGCCTCAAGCGGTCCTGGTACCGGGTTGCGGTATCAGTGATCAGAATTCGAGACCACATACTTGCAGCGGAATATGATTGGGGGGCTCACCAGGCTGCTCACGGCTACCCTGCGCGCCTCGTACATCCTCGGCGGGGTCACGTAGGACGGGTCGTCGATCGCGTGGGGCCGGGAGGTCAGGAGGGAGGGCTCCGGGAAGTGTTGCCGGACGAGCTCGGCTTTGAAGACATCTAGTGAGGTCGTTAGTGTCTCGAGGAGGCTGGAGATCTCGGATGTCGTCGATGTCGACATCATGTACGTCTATGAGGTTAGGCTGGGCGAATTGTTCAGCGAGTGTGCGTATTTTGTAGAGGTATACCGTCATGACTATAAATATAGATACAAGCACGGGGAAAGCGTGCCAGCCGTCTGAGGCCTCGTGGGGCTTAAAGAGGGATCTGTGGCGATTCTTTGAGAAAATCCACGATGACTGACGACCTTCGGATAAGGATGACGAGAAGTAAAAAGTAGGCTACTTGCCTTTTTGTCTCGACGTCAGCCTGAGTGAGGATCCCCCATGCCCTAGTTAGGTTACCTTTCACGTCCCCATACCACACCATGTCCTAGCCATGCTGACCTTCACAACGCAGTTTGCGCCATATGTACTATGACCATGGATCTCACTACTGCCTCGAGTATATCATCCTTCTCCCCGCTTCCCGGTCGTATATGGAGTGGCAGGTAGATACACTACGGTGAGCGAGGTGCGGACAGTAGTCGACAGTCTGTGAACGTACCTGGATTTCTCATTGCGGAGATGACATGCAGAGGGTTGACCATGTAAAAAGCTTGATGAGAGACCGGTTGGGGGGTCCGCTGAGTCTCGTATACCGTAGAACAGGGCCTGAGATTTAAGGCGCGGAGACAAAGAGAGCATTGTGTATATCGTGTAAAGCACTGATTCGGGTTCAAGTCTTTTATCCTCCCCCCCCCCCGGAGCCCGATAATTGGACAAGGCCATGGCCATCGGTGCGAAAGTATTGCCCGTGCCCCCGTAGTATAACATCTTCAAAATCGCGTTGCCAGAAAGTCGCGCGTTGCCCGACTTTATTTATGCTTTGAGAATAATAAGCAAGACATACTAGTAGACACTTTTCATAGACTGTTGCCCGCGAGGTATACCAGTCGGAACGAAACACAGTGAAGGAAATGAAGTAGCTATAATACAGTCGAGGATACAAGGCCGGCACAACGTGTCGCCTTTTTGGGACGAGCTGTAAAAATAGCGATTGATGGCATCATGCTGAGTCAGCCATCATGTGCCTCGCTGGTCGACTTTGCTTTCGTGCACCAGTCCGCGTTTCACGCCCAAGAGGGTGCTTGCGACTCCACGGAGTCGTTGAATTGAGTCGCGACTCGAATCATCAGGCCTCACACTTTGGGAGTTACACTCTTTTGGGCCTAGCAAAAGATTGTATGGTAGGGATATATGAAAGATTGGCTTTTGTAAATGATTTTGGGGCTCACAAAAGATAATCTTTAATGAGAATTTTGAAGCTTGTAATACAGTGGACTACTTATGTAATGCACCACCTGCTCAGATTTTGATATTTTGCACCCTCTCATCTTCAGCGGGTGTTTGGAAGGGAGAAAATTGTTATTACAGTATGTATACCATCTATGTAGTGTGCTACAAGTTTTGGATTGTGCCCAAATGTTGAGAGGGATGAGAGGGATGTCGAAAGATTCAGCACATGGGGTGCATTACTTTTGTGGAATGTGACCCTTGTCACAGAATCAACCTTGCTCCGTTCATCCTACACGAACCGCCTGTCGCTGCGTCTTCAACCACTGCACACTGTATTCTGCATGCTATGCTTTACTACTCGCCCACGAAATGCACCCGCATCTGCCATCTCAAGGCCAATGGCCCCTTGAACTCTCAGGTCTCCTCGGAGATGGGAATCCTGTGCTGTACCATGTCCCGTATCTACCGCCGATACTTTGGCACGACCGCCTACTATCTCGTTGGACAGAAGACAGGTCGGCCACGTATCTTCAGTGACTGCGACGCCCGAGTGGCCGCTCGGAAGCTCACTACGGCGATGACATCGCTGATGTGAAGAGGAAGTTCTTCCCGCATGTCAGCGATGATACCATATGGCGGCACATGCAAGAGCAAGGTTTATGGACGTACGTGAGGTGGAAGAAGCCTCTCTTGATGAAAGTGCATCGGCAGAAGCAGTTGCAGTGGGCATTGGATCACCGACATTGGACAGTTCAGGACTGGGAGGGGGTCGTTTTCACAGATGAGTCTAAATTCAACCTCGTTGGGTAAGATGGCCATTGATATGCACTGACACACAACAATCACCAAGGACCAAAAGAAATAAACCTAAACCCCGTCACATGGTGCATTATATAAGTGGTTCACTGTATATATTTTCAGCAGTATTATCTTTGTTGATACATTATAATTAAATCTTTTAGATTCCCTTCTGACACTGGGGGATCTGTAATCTTTAGGGCCAGGCAGAAGGTTGTATGAAAGGGAATTCCACAGGCTCTGATTGGCTGGGAATTCTCTTTTGTACAACCTTCTGCCTGGCCCTAAAGATTACAAATCCTCCTGTGTCAGAAGGGAATCTAAAAGACTTAATTATAATGTATCAACAAAGATAATACTGCTGAAAATATATATTACAAGCTTCGAAATTCTCAATAATGATTATCTTTTGTGAGCCCCAAAATCATTTACAAAAGCCGATATTTCATATATCCCTACCATACAATCTTTTGCTAGGCCCCAAAGAGTGTAACTCCCGAAGTGTCAGTAGATAGACTTCGGATCCTCTCTGGGGGTATTTTGTCAGCCTATACAAATTCCAATCTTCCAGCTCACAATATACATTGTCAAGGACATAAGTTTTAGAAAGTAAATGCTATGTAGTATATCCTAGCTTGCACTACATCTTGCACATTCAGTCAACGACTCACAAGCACCCTGTAGGGCGCGAAACGCGGACTTGTGCAAATTTGCAAAAGCAAAGTCGACCAGCGAGGCACATGATGGCTGACTCAGCGTGATTCCATCATTATCAATTTCATTTTATGAGTCCTGGGTTTACGAAGGATGAGTCCTTACCCGCAAAATTGGGTGTGTGCCGAACATTGTACTTTTTAGCTGTAGTCTTGACTACAAAGTTTAATGTCCACTTTAAAGTCTGTTTGTATTGGAGACTACAAAAAGACTACAAAATCGGATTGTAGTGTCTGGTTTCAATAATACTGTGTTTTCATCGTGGGTTTTTCTTGTATTTCTGTAGTTTCTTCTATGAAGAGGGGTTTTTGGGTCATCTGTATGCTGGAATATTTTGAGCATTTGATCGTACCTCCGTCTTTTACTGCATGCTCGTTGTTGTCTGTGGCATGTTGTTACCGTGGGAATTGACTTGTGTGGCGGTTTGTAGTCGATGGCTCAGGCGTGTCGCCGCGCCGGTTGGGATTCGACGTCTGTGATTGGCTGCTGTCTACTTATTCAAGGCGGGGCCGGGTATGAAGATGCCGGTCAAGCCGGCAATACCCCGGATCAACCAATGACGCCGACCTTGATTACCATTCCAAGTGTCGATCTCTTTACCCCGCATCCCCTCCTCCACACCGCCATGTCCCCCCGTCCATCCCTCCCCCAGCCAACAACACTTCTCTCCCTGCCCACCGTCCACCCCCGCCCTCTCAAACCCATCCTCCCACCGTCCTCCTCCCCGGGCCCGCAATCCCCCCTCCCCGCCGTCCCCTCTCCTCCCCGGCAGCCCATCCCCCCGCTCGCCGCCTCCTACACGCTCAGCACGCACATCCTCCCCGCCGCGCGCCCGCGCTCGGCGCCCCACGTCCCCGTCCCGGCAGACCTCAGCCCCGAGGCGGGCGAGCGCATCGCGGACAAGGCGGAGAAGCGGCGGTGGGTGGGGCGCGTCGTCGAGTGGCTGCTGGAGGTGAGGAAAAGGTACGCGGCTGGCGAGGTGCTGGGCGAGGACGAGAGCGGGGAGGGGTTGTGGAATGTGGTTAACCGGTACGCGCTGAAGGACGGGGAGAAGAGGGGGGAGGGGGGGAAGGGCGCGACGCTGTTCTTCGCGCACGCGACTGGGTTCCCGAAGGAGGTGCGTCTGTACCACTCGCCCATGTTTTAGATTGCTCATATGCTCCCCTTGCTTATTTGTTGTCGTCGTATGTAGATATGGGAGCCCACCATTGCGCACCTCGTCGCCGAATCCAGCGCCTCTTCCATCACGATCGACGAAATCTGGGCCTGGGAAGCCGTGCAGCACGGAGACGCCGCCCTGCTCAACGAGTCCCTCCTCAACCACAACAGCCTGTGTGTGTATGCCCCTTTCCTCCTTTCCTCCTTTCCTCTTCCCCTCTCCCCTCACTCCACTTACCCCCCTCTTTCCCCCGTATAGGTGACTGGCGCGACAACACCCGCGACATGGTGAACTTCCTGACGTACTACCTACCGCCCCCCTTTCATCCCGAATCGCCATCGAACTACAACTACCCACCGGAACCATACAAGATAAAAGGGGAGTTACCAACGCACCTCGCGCCGGTACCAGCGTCGTTGGCGCAACAACGCCTCACACGCGGCTTCGAGCCCGAAGGCCGGACGCTCATCGTTGCGGGGCACAGTTTCGGGGGGTGCACCGCGTTAGTCCCCCCTCCCCCCCTCTTCTTCCTAGTCCCTATACTAATGTGTCGGACACCAGGACGCTCGCCGCGCTCACCCACCCCTCGCTCTTCACCGGCGGGCTCGTCCTGATCGACCCCGTCATCCTGCCCGTGGGGACGTACAACCAGGCGATCAAGCTCCAGCTCACCGCCGGCGCGGTCGGGCGGCGCGCGGCGTGGAAGTCGCGGTGCGTCCCTCCCCTCTTCGTCGTAAGCTGAAATGTGAACGTGATCCCCACGCACACAGAGAAGAAGCCCACGCCCAGTTCGCCGCGACGCCCTTCTTCGCCGCGTGGGACCCCGCCGTGCTGCGCGTGTACGTCGAGTGCGGGCTCGCCGATCACCCTGAGGGAGGGGTCAGACTCAAGATGAGCGGGTTCCAGGTACACTTCTCCCCTTCTCCCTTCTCCCGTCTGCTTCCCTTCCCCTCCACCCTCTCCATTCCCCATCGGTACTCACTGCGACGGAATAGGAAGCGGCGATGTTCTCCGACACGACCGTCGCCTTCGAGGTCTTCGAGCGCCTCCCCGCTCTCGACGAGCGCGTCGAGCTGAAGTGGGTCCTCCCGGGCAAGCCGAAGAAGGGCGAGTGAGTTTCCTTCCCTCTTTTCCCTTTCTCTCTTTGCCCCCGTTGAGGGTTATGCGTCATGCGTTATGGAAATGGTGCTGACTGGGGGAATGTGTTTGTGTAGCATCGGCGGCGAGGAGATGCAGCCGTACCGCGCGTGGCGCCGGCCGGCGAACGCGGGGAACGTGCTGATTCCTGGGGCGGGGCATCTGGTGCGTGTCTCTTCCCGCCCCTGCGTCCCTTTCTCGCCAGGTGCCGCTTCCGCTCATCATGCATACGGTATTCTAGATCACACAGGAAGCGCCGAAAGCGCTCGGTACGTCCCCTCCCACACTCACAACGAGGACCCAAAGCTGATTTGTAAATGTGAAGCGGAGGAGATATGGGAGTTCGTGCAGAAGAAGTGCGCGGAGCGGGAGCGGAGAGGGGTGGGGAGGGCGAGGCTGTGAGCTGGGTGGGCGTGTTGTGTTGGTGCTATGGGAGATCGGGGCATATAGCGGATTTACATCGGAGAGATTTGCATATACTGTAAGCTCAGAACGTATTTGGATTCGGGCGAGGGCCTTCCTCGAGCATGCGTGCGTGGGTGGGGTATAACCTGTCTGCTTATTGTGGGGGTGGTTGAGCGTTGGATATGTGAGGCTTTTGACCTTTGGATGTCGAAGCTGAGGGCTGTCTACGCAAGCTCGGACGGCTGTAGGGGTGGGTCGAGCCAGCCGAGCTGGAAAGAACTGAGCTGACGCGCTGACGGCTTGCGAGCTTGCAGCTCAGGCAATGGCTCCTTGTATGTGAACACGCGTACAACACCTGCATATGATGTACGGTACACTTTGACTTAGTGGTCTAAACAACGCCTCAAGCCGCTCATAGCGGTGAGCCGAGCCGAGTTCGAGCTAAGAAAGTGTGACAGACGCGTGTCGTCACGCATTCGTGCCTCATTTAACGCGCGTCAGACGCGACGTTCCCACGCATCTCTCTCTAGCCACACCTCTCGCTCCACCTTAATCTGAGCCGCTCGTGCTTCCTCTACAGATTCCTCGTCCTGCTGGTGTAGCTGAATTGACTCTCTATCGATGGAATCACTTAACTTGAAGCAGCTCTCTGTGAAGCAGCTCAGGACCCGGACGGCAGCTATTGTGGAATCGCTCCAAAGGTGCATTAAGGTCGCTATGGATGCGCAAGAGACCTACGTGGGGATGAGAGGCAGGTCTCTCGAGAACGAAAAAAAGATCTGCGGTGTCATGAAGTTTATGAACGACGAGCAGCTTGAATTGTCCAAGCTATTGCAGGCCACCACAGACGAAATGGTACTACGGTGCAAGACACGTCTGCTTGCGTTCCTAGATGATGATATACTCCGCCGAGTCTTTAGGCTGGGCGCTATGAACGGGGACAAGCGTAGCGGTACTGGAATAGCACCTTTCGAGATCACTATTGCTCAGGTCTGCCGCCGCTGGCGACATCTAGCGCTATCTTCGCCCACACTGTGGACGAACATATATGTGGGGCGGCCTAGCAAGGGGACTCGCTCGCGTATTCAAGCCTACATTGAACGCTCTGGCACAGAAAAGCTCAATATTACAATCATGCCTGGGGGTTCAAAGAGATTGCCTACTCGGGAGTTCCAACTACTTTGTGGGCATGTTGACCGATGGCAGAGCTTCAAGCTAACGCTTATAACGCGTCCATCTAGCGATGTGCAGCGATTTTTTGAACCTCTCGCCAATGTTAGCGCTCGTGAGCTCCAGCACTTCGAGATCCGCGTTTCACCAGAACTTTGTACTCAGAGTTGCGCCCCACTCTTTTTGAAGGCCCAGCTATTTGGTGCAGGGGCACCACAGCTGCACACCATGCTCTTGGGCGGCGCGGGCTGCATACTCCCGGAGCCGCACATGTTCATGCGTCTCACGACGCTCATGCTGGCGCCTCCTCACCACGTCATGTGGCTGACATACAAGGATCTACGTGCAGTTCTCAATGCAACCGTATCATTACGGCGACTCATCATCAACGGGAGCGTTGTAGTTCCTGTTGCTACTAGACGGCGGGTTTTACTTAACAGGTTGGAAACTTTGGAGTTGTCTTCAGATCACAGCGATCTTCTTTTCTCGCTGCTTGAGATGCCAGTGCTCAAGGCATTGGATCTCGATGGACGCAGCCTTACTCAGTCCAGGATGGAACGCGTCATGGACGCGTTCTGGAAGCCTCATGGGGCTCTGCGTTTTCCCTCTCTAACCTCGCTGACATTGAGGTCTTTCGAATGCATGCTGGTGCTCGGTCGTCCCGATGCAATGCCTGCTCTGGAAGAGCTTGCGATCATCGCTGATGCCAGGACTGGCATTAGGGATGATATACTGCTCACATTGACAGAAAAAAATCGAAACGACGACCAGGTTCTATGGCCGCGACTACAGAAACTCAAGCTAGGCGGTCGGTTCAAGCTTTCACTTCTATGGGACGTATGCCAGGAGCGTGCCGGGCTGGGGCACCGTTTGACGGAGCTCTCCATCCCACGCTCTTGCATCGAAGAAGAGCTGTGTGAGTGGTTCGAACGATACTTCGTCCTGCAATACCACGAAGACACGTGTTGGTCCATAGCTCCTGATTTACCGGAGATCGCCATAGAAGAGGACGATCCTAGCTCTATTGAACCGACCGTAGAGGATAATAGAAACTATTATTCCTCGGACTCTGACAGTCCTATCTCAAGCGACTCTTCTGAGGAATGATGAGTAACAGCACCACCATACATACACGAGTACCAAGAGGAAATAAATAGGATCTGCATTGCAGACAGAAACGGCTACAGACGACATTGTACATATTAAGCGTCCGGCGATTGTATGTATCAGTAGAGGACAATACTATGAAGAAGTGATTTGGCATTGTATCCTTCGTCGAGCGGCTTGATCTTGTGTCTTCCCAGTTGTGAGGTAGTGGCACTGACAGCCGGACGGAACGACCATGGATACTCAACATATTGGCACAGGTGACGCTGCCCCTGCCTGTGCTGAGGACGAGATGACCTTGCCTCAAAGACTTGAGGAAACCTGCATTTGCTCAGGCTATCCGAGTTATCCCGAGGAGCCGAGCCATTCGTCTTCCCCAGTTGCCCACAAAACCAGGACGAGGCTCATGAACCGGCTCCGTGGCGCAGCTTTGAGCAGGGACACGCCTCGCATGTACCTGCTTGGGGATCGGTGCGATGTCCTGGGACAGAAGGAGTGCCAGGTCTAGTGACTCGTGCAAGAAATTTACCAAGACCTTCTTGTCCCATATGTCGCTCGCCTAAAGCATAACAAGAGATAAGCGAGGTACCATCATGTAATCTGAGGCGTACCGCGATTTGGACGTGCAATTCGTTATTTAGAGACCAGGCATGGCAAACACTTCCTCAATTCATTAGAACCGTACCGGATGACACACAATAATGCAAGACTTACGGCCGGGTGAACGCTGACAGACGATGCCCCAACGTCATATCGAGCAGTTCGAGAGTAGGTTTCTTCGCTTCCCTTGGCCACTGTGAAGGTACATGATCTTCGATCACCCCCATATCCGCCACGACGATGGCAGAGGGGTTCGGGCTCGAGGGGAACATCATCTGGTACGACAGGAAGGGGAGGTGCGGACTCGCGAGCCATCTCCTATACTGGGCCTGCAAACTTTGCATGACGGAGATCAAAGCCTCCCTAGACACAGCGTCCTTTGGGACGTCTCTGAAGTCGATGGCGAGGGGAGCGTAGGCCAAGCTCGCTCCCACGCGTACGCGCGGATTATGAGGTCCAATGAATAGAGGATTGAGGGGGATCCTGAGTTGATCGTCAGCGGCAGTTTTCGTCTGGGCAGCTACTACCCACATAGTCATATCTAAAAGAACATTCGCGTCTTCGGAGAGGGTTCCCTGCCGAGCGTTGTTGGCAAAGGTCGTCAGCACGAAGGCCGCTTCCAGGAGGACTGTCAGTGATAAATCCAATCGCTTGAGGGCGGCCTTGAGGGCTTCGAACTTGGCCGCGGGTATGACGCCGTGCGTCCGTATAGGCAGACCCTGTTGACGAATCTCGGCTCTTTGAGCTTGCAGTGCCTCTGAAGGCTGGGAAGGAGACGGTCAGCCTCTGACCGGACGTTGTAGACTATGCAAAACACCTTATCCCGCGTTACTATTCTCCGAACCTCTTGAAGTAATGACGGCACTGCTACGTCAGCACCATCGCGTATCCCTCCCGCGGATGTTATAGGGCCTGCAGGCAAATTGCGCCATTCCTCACCCCAGGGTAGGTCGGCGATAGCGGAGGGGGATGATGTCGGATGAGAGATGTAGTCAAAGACCTCGCGGAACACAGCCAGAGTCGCTTGGGGATCGAGAAGAGCATGGCTGCCGTGTATAAACAGCGAGTGGATCCCAGACTTGCGCAGGAGTAGATGACACTCGAAAACCTTCGTGAAGTGACCATCTTTGATCGGCATACGTTTTTGGTTGATGGCGGCGATGAATTCTTCATCGGACGTCTCGGTCTCGTGGACGAGCAACGTCTGCTGAATCCAAGCTTCTATCTCTTGGATGCCGGACGGAGGTCTGTAGACCCAGGCCCGCTTCTCCGAGTCATGGTAATCATCCTCGATAGACGCTGCTATCAGAGGCGTGACAAATCTTTGTCACGTTTAATGAGTAGACGGGGAGAAGGAAGTTTAGTAATATGGCGTACCTGAGATGACCCATCGCGTCGTGGAGGTGTTTTATCAGGTCCGCAGAACTGCACGTAGTCTGGAATGTGAATCCATGGCATGGCTCGGGAGCGCTGTTACCAAAAATATCAAGCAAGTTTGCGAGGCGGGCTAGTGGATAGCTTACCCTTCGCTGAACATATGCATTCGTTCCTTAACGAGCTCGGACCCTAGAAGCGGTCTACCAGATGGGTTCGACCAAATCCCGCGTGGCGGAGTGCATAACATACCTGCTATAGGCCTGGAGTGCACCTACCCATTCCCACTGCGGCTCCACGTCAGAGGTACTGGCTGAGATGCCTACTTGTGCCATAGTATGAGGTATATACAGAGAGATTGAGCGATTGAAGGAGTGTGAGCGTCAGTTAGATTATAAGGAGAGTGGTAATTATAGAAAGATGTCAAGCTGTCAGAGCACGAGGTCTGTGACTTCGGTGAATAAGTTAAGTTGAAGACGGCCCGCACATTCTAGATGTGAGTATGTCTTATACTTGACCTAAGCTTGATGGTGGAGCCTGTGATCAAATCGCACCGCCATGTTGTAACGCTCCCCAGGGGGTATGTATTGATGGAGGCCGAAAGCCGAGATCTTAGACGTGTCAAACACAATAGGCCTGAGATTTTTAGGGAATCGCGCCTGGGACTCACCATAAGGCATTGGAAGCTCTGTAGGGAAACGGGTAATCGTGCGATGACATGGAAGCTATAGATCTTCATTCTCATGAGCCTCAAACGTGTTTACGTTGACCTTCTGCGACCGAGAAGCGTGGGAAATTTAATTATGCCCTCGAACCGATAGCTCTGTTTCGTCTCACTGTTCACATGCGCTCGCGAAGAACCTCGAGGCTGCCGTTTGACGATAGTCCAGCGAACGCAGTCCCTAGTTTCACTTTCGACTCTGAATTCTTCTAATATCTCTCGAAGCCTGCTGTGACTATGCACTGCAATAACGCTGCGGCGAGAACGCATGAAAAGCACTCACGACAGTATGGCTGAGAACGCCATCATGATTCCGGGCCTGTCACCTCTCTGCTGGGATCTCCGGTGAGTGCGACCACCGTCGGTCGGAAGCATTAGCTTGGCCGGGACCGAGGTCGAGGTCACTGGTAACCCTCCGGGTAGATAAAGATCCCTCACGCCTCCTGTGGATGGACCGTGCTGGCAGGTGCTGGATCTGACGTACGGTGCAAATTCCAGGGTTCTGCCAAATCAAACCGTTGTCAATCAGCATTCTCTGTCTTTAACATGCCCAAGATCGAATGGACCCAGCTAAGCCAAACTTCGACTTTTAGCAGTGTGGAAATTTCCTTGTCATGTTAAGACATCTTCTGATATGCCCAATTTACACGTGTCTTTCGCCGTACTGTGGCCGCAATTGGAGATTCACTTCAAAAACCCGCAAGAACAGGAGGGCCACTGAGCTGACATCCAGCGGCGAAATACTAGGATTCGAGAGGGAAACATCATAGGCCAGATCGGCAGGGTCATCCCTAGGTCTGATGTTCGGCTGTAAGTGAAGTACTTGAGCAATGCAATGCGTTTTCCTTCTAACGGGAACACTAACACCCGATGGCACTAAATGATTATTCATTGGTGATCCGAGATATTAACACCCTTCCTTGTAATTAAGGCAGAATTCTACTTTCCTGTAGGATCTATCAGATACGTACAAGAGCCCTTTGACGTTGTCCGGGTGGCGTGGTCGGCGTTCTGGCGCCGATCTTCTACCCGTGAACGTTCAGTGCACCTCTGCTGAATCCATAGGTCCCCGCATTGCCAAGGTATGCCAGGCTTCATGTGGCGTATCACGCAACGATGGCATGCACATGTCAGCTTGGGAGCCCGATATCGGTACGCGGGCCCTGTCCATTTCTTCCTCAAATTTCCGCACCGGGACATCAACAAAGCTCTCGCCTCCAGTACAAGAGGGCGTGTCTCCTTCTCATTCCAACTCCGAATATCGGATCCATCTCTTCACCTGCTAAGTGGTGACGACCTGTTACCGTACCTACCACATCGCTGCCAGTCAAGGTCAGGTGCACTATCCTCGCTCGCCACATCCACATCCATAGCACCGTCAATCGATGGGGCTAACTCCTTTCGGGTTCGCAGTAGCTTGCCCATGGCGATAGTACGGTGGTCCTGAGCACCGGACATATGTCATGTTGACAGTGTAAGCACCTGTGGGCTATAGTAGTACCAACATCGGCTAGACTGCAGCTGCTCCGGTATCCGGGTAAGTTTAGGATAGAGTATACAGCAGCCACAGACGGTACATTGCATCTGGATACCGCACGAACAGGCAGCATGCGCAACGGAAGTGAATTGCACAGTATAACACAAACGGATATGACTCCATAAATACTACCAAGAGACAGCAGTGCAAGACAAGGATCTAGGCTTCCTTCCTCTTGTACCCCTTCGGTAGGTCCTTGACGAAAGGCAGGAAATCCCTGCCTTGCATGTATGGCCGTAGAGGCTCGGGGATGACGAGACCCTGTGTATCAAAAATATCAGCACCCTTCATAGTAGGAGCCCATCTTGAGAAGCACTCACATCTTTCGTTTGGTAGTTCTCGACGAGACAGCATAGGGCGCGTTCTGTGGCACACAGCGTCCCGTTGAGCATGTGCACGTAGATTTTGCGCGCCTGGTCTTTGCTCTTCAAGCCACACCGAACTTCCAGCCGTCTGCTCTCTGCACCCGGAATCTTCAGCGAAACTCGGACTCGTGACGGAAATGACAAACTCACGGTAGTCCGTACAATTCGAGCACGACACCAACTCCTTATATGCCCCCTGGAACGGGAACCACGCTTCCAGGTCATACTTTTTGCTCGCCGCCAAATTCAGCGCACCAGACACAATCGCAACGACGCGGTACGGCAGGCCGAGGCTCTTGTAGAACTCCTCGCTCGCGCCGATCATCGAGTCGAACATCTCCCAGCTCTTCTCCGGCTCGGTGATGCAGAACTGCTCGACCTTCTCGAACTGATGCACGCGGAAGATGCCCCACATGTCGCGCCCCGCCGAGCCGGCCTCTTTGCGGAAGCACGTCGAGTAGCCGGCGTAGCGCACGGGGAGCTGAGTTTTGGGGTCTTCGAACCATTCGTCGGAGTGGAAGGCGGAGATGGGCTGCTCGGAGGTTGCGATGAGGTACTTCTCGTCTTCTGCAGCAATCACCTACACATCACGCGAGCCGCATCAGGGGATATGCTGAAAGTACACGGAAAAGTCCTGACCTTGTAGAGTTCCTCGTCGAACTGATCCAGCTGCGCTGTTTTTGCCATGACATCCTTGTTCATGAAGAACGGCGGCTGTACTTTCTTGTACCCTTTCTTCCGGAGGAAATCTAGTCCGTAGGAGATCATCGCCTGATTCAGATCGATACCGTCATTTGTCAAGAAGTATCCTCGATGTCCAGCAATCTTAGCACCTGGCAGAATCACGTCAGACGACGATGCTGTGAGAGGTAACTACAACGCACCTCGCTCAAGGTCCATAGCATCTAGTCGTAATAACACCTCATGATGGGGCATGATATCCGACTTCTTCTCCACCTGCGCGTTCGGTCCTTCAGGATGCCATGTCCGGAGCGTGACATTGTCGTCCTGGTAGATGCCCCGTCCTTAGGTACGCACCCTGAGTAATGAAGGAGATAACGCACCTCCGTCAGGCTAGTGGGTACATCTTTCGCTACAATATTCCCCACAGTCGACGCCTTCTGGCGCATCGTCGCCTCGAACTCCTTCGCCTCCTTCCGCTTCGCATCCACCTGCGCATCGATCTCCTTCTTCTCCGCCACCAGCGCGTCCGCGTTTTCCTTCGCCTATCACTGCACGTAAACACGGGCCCCGGGCGCAACGACGCACGGACTGACTACTGACTTTCTTCTTCGCCGCGATCTCTTTCTGGACCGCGTTCGACTTTTTGCTCAGCTGGCTCGCTTCATAGTCCACTGCCTATCCCATAAGCATGGGGCACCCAAACCTGAAACAGGGGCGAAGGGTCCTTACATTTTACCCACTCGGCGTACATCTGGATTACCTCGTCCACGAGCTCTGTCGAGAGCCCGCGCCGCTTCTGCGACTCCCGGATCTCCTCCGCGTTCCCCCCTTTCGCGTCGATAAAGTGCAGGACGTCTAGCGTCATTTTGCTAATCCAGATACGTGTTTGGACTCGTAGATAGAGCGATGGAGGGACGAAGTAAGGTAGAGGAGATGACTCGGACGGTTTGCACGGATACTATCGATTAATTAGCTTACGTAAGCGAGATGTATTTTTGTCGTTGAGGCTTTTTCTGCTTTTCTTTTGTCTTCTGCTACAACCAGCATCGTCTTCAGAGTTCCACACCCCACCTTCTGGCGACAGACCCCTTAATCCTGCTCCATCTATGCAGTCGAACACTTGCTGCAAAAGAAATGCTGCAGCCTGGGATGTCAGAAGGAGGCAGATCTGTTTCATCGACTCGATTCACCGACAGGATATGATATGAATCCGTGATTCAATCCTTCTACTGGCGCGGCAGCAGACACAGGAGCATACAATGAACTCAGCGGACGCATATGCTCCTGCGTCTGCTGCTGCAGTTTCGTTACCCGTACAAGTCGAACGGCGAAGGAAAGTCAGATTCGGAGTGTTTTGCCGTAGAGATGTGGCGCTTGTAACCTCAGGTTGCACGGTCAGATCGTCTCTGTCTACCCTCGTCGTCTCTGACGGCACCTGGTGCTAAGTGCTGACAGGACATTCGCAGACCCGTAGGCATCAGACAAACGCAGTGGCTCACTCAACTCGACACGACATCAGATAATCACCGCGCACCACCCTAATTTCGCGCCCGATCCAGATGCGTACGGATATCGGAGCGTACCACGGTCCGTCCGCGGTATCCATCGCGTCTGTCCGGATAGGCCGCCGTCTCCGTCCCCGTCTAGAAAAGGTGCGTACAAGTTACGCAGCGAGATTGAGAGAAGGGCGCCTAGGCCACGATTAGGGGACGGATGACCCTTGATCGTGGACGAGGCGCCCCTCCGGCCCTCCTCCGCCTCTGTCCCCTATGCACGCGCAGGTCCTGCTCACCACTCTATAACGCTCGCTATGGGGGCACAGCTGCCCTGACCGGTCGTCCATCGCCTCAGATCCAGTTCATGGGCGGTACCTCAGGGCATTCATCCTCATTGGCGTATCTCTACTGCTCACAGTGGCAGGACCACCCCCCCCTGCCTCACTAACCCCGTCGCCTAGGCGCACGATGCCATCCTCGTTCGTCTACCCGCCTGGTCCGTCCCCCGCGCCCCTCTTCCGTGCTCACTGATACCAGTATCTGCTATCTTCGATCTCGACAAGCAGGACGGCTGTGGCCATCGCGTGCAGGTGGTGCCTCTCCGATGACCAGAGCAATCATTTGCGCTCGGGTTGTCCGAGCGGCACCCCTCCTGGCTACGGCAACTCCCATCCCGCACGTACGTATCCATCCCGCATGTATGTATTCATCCTAATCGACATTCCTCGACACGGAGGCCTACTGCCCCGCTCTGCCGCCCTGACCCCAGATGCACTCCGTGGGCGGCACGCCAGCGCATCCGTCCTCACGCCTATGTATCTCCTCTGCTACCCGCTCGGCGCGGCGACCACAAACCGCTCCGCCCCGCCATCAGCCGTCGCATCAACGCCGAGACCCAAGCCCTCGCCGCTGATGGTATCCTTGCTCCCGCGCACACGTCCGTGATCACACGCGCCGATATCCCGGAACAGCGGACGTGGCCGACACGGCTAGGGTCACGGCACCTCCTCTCGCCTTGCACCTGCGTGCGCATGCGTACTGTATCTCCTCCGTTTTCACTGGGGCGAGCCTCCAAGCTGCATGGACAGCCGTCCCGTAAAGACGTTACACAGCGAAGTACCTACACATCAAATAACGATAACTCACTTTACGATACGTATACACTACTCTACACAATTACCTCCCTTCCTCTATCATACCCTTCCATCCATCCTTGATATTCAAGACCCCCTCCTACATTACCACCACAGTACACTACTTCAAACATATGAAACTCGATGAGAACAGATATCGCCGCCGCTTGTGCTTGTGTTTGTGTGGTTGTACAAGTCCATGAATCCCAGAGTCCCGGCCAGCGGTGTGGGACGAGATCACAACCTCGCCGCCACCTCCCTCCCCGTCCCCGTCCCCCGTCCCCTCCTGCGCCCCCACCGCTCAGTCAAGAAGCGCCCAAGATCCAACGCGAGCTCCCCAGGACATTCCTGCACGATCTACCCGCCCCAAATCGATCAGCGCGCCCCCAGCACGAAGAACACAAGGACACCGACCAAATGCGACGCGCGCTCCACGACCACGTTCCCCGCATTCGCCCTGCGCCGCCAGCACCGCTCGCCCATCTCGCGGCGGCCGAGCTCCGCGGGGCGCCCGGGCATGACCCAGTGCAGCGCGACGCGCGCCGGGAGCGCGGCGAGGCGCTCGAACGTCTCCGCGGGCACGCGCGTGTCCGTGAACAGGATCGCCTCCTGCACGCCGCTCGTCTTCAGCCGCACGCCCGCGCCCGCGCCCTCCTGCGCGACCAGCCCGCACTCGACGTACACGCCCAGCGCCTCGGGGTCCCACGCGGCGAAGAACGGGCTGCGGTCCAGCACGCGCCGCGCCTCGGCCCTGCTGCGCCACCCCTCCCTCCGCGCGAGCGCGCCGCGCACGAGCCCGCGCACGGTGCGCGGCGGGTAGCAGCCGTGCGGGATGATGACGGGGTCGACGAGGACGAGCGCGGAGAAGAGGGCGGGGCGGGCGGTGGCGGCGAGCGCGGTGGTGCACCCGCCGAAGGAGTGGCCGATGGCGACGAGCGTGCGGGAGGTGTAGCCGTGTTGGGCGCGGTGGGCGGAGAGGGGGGCGGGGACGCGCGGGAGGAAGGTTGGTAGAGATGAGGATGTTGAGGACGGGGAGGCGGGGAGGTAGGCGGTGAGGAAGGCGAGGATGTCGCGCGCGTGGTCTTGCCAGTCGTCTGGAGGGGGTGGATGCATGCGTGAGTGATTATGTAAATGGACGGGGGGTGAACACGCACAGAGGCCGCCGAGGTTGCCGTCGTTGAGCAGCGCCGAGTCGCCGTTCTGGACGGACTCGATGCACCAGATCTCCGCGATGTCGACGCGCCCGCGGGTGTGCGCGAGTAGGCGCGCTATCGTCGGCTCCCAGATCTGCGTAGCACCGTGTCAGCGGAGGAAGCGAAGAGCAGGCCCGGGACGGAACGGGACACGCGCGATGGCGGAGGAGAACCCCAAGGCGAATCCGAGCAAGAACCCACCTCCTTCGGGAACCCGATCGCATGCGCAAAGAACAGCGTCACGCCCCTGCCCTCCCCCCTCGCCGGCGCATACCGATTCACGCAAAGCCACAGCACCCTCTCATCCCCTGCACCTGCCCCTGCCCCTCCCCCGCCCTCGCCCCTCCCCCACCTTTCCTTCATCCCCACCAACTCCTCCGCCACCTCCCGCACCCTCTCCTTCCTCCTCCCCTTCCCCCCGAGGTCCGGCACGGGCACCGCGGGCGTGCACCGCCCCCACGCCGCGGGCACCACATGCGTGCTGCACGCCCACCCCGCCCGCGCGCACCACTCCGGCGCGCGCACCCCCAGCTTCGCCACGCGGGGCAGCACC